AAGAATGCACAGAGAGCTCCATTGTTTTCTCTAACCCTTTTCGAGGTCAGAGCTCTCACAGGGTGGGGACACTTGTCGGCACCTGGGATCAGGCTTCACAATGGCCACGCCTAGAAAGAGGCCCCTCTACCGTCACCCGCCATTGCTGAGAAAGGGCTTTGAGGGGAAGTGCGAGCGGTGCGTGCTGCAGCGCCACCTGCTGCGTGGGGGGCCTCACTGCAGCGCCCACCCTGCCAAGCCTTTGGAGGCTAAGGATGTGGCAAAGACCGTTTTCTTTAAAAAGTGATCATCAAAAAAAGTTTAAAAAGCAGAACCCGTCTTCAAAAGGAATCCTCACAGAAATACTTCATTATAAAGAATCCATTACTTTATTAAAACGTTGAACAATGGACGTTTTTATTTACGTTTGAAATAGTTAATACTGTACATTTACATGTTTGAAAAATCGTAAGTATAAAAAAATATACTGTGAAAAGTGTTCCAAAAGCGAGGGGTGGGGGAGAGTCTTCCATTTTTGTTTTCCATCTGCCTGGTTCCTCCCTGCCCCCCCATAGCAATGGGTTCTTGATTTTTAATATATCTTTAGAAATTGGAAATGGCAGTTGTGATTGCCATGTGCAGTCTTCTACCAGCTTCAATAGCCATCTTACCTCTATAGTACTAAAGAAAGCATTGACAGGTACTAGTGGCAAGTGATGGCATTTTAAAGTCACTAGCCTTGCATTTAATTGGACAATAATCACTAACGCTTAATTCGCAAAACACCGTGACCTAGTGGCACAAGTCAATGTTTTGTGGTTGATAACACATTTGAGTGTATGTGTGGATTTTTAAAAAAATGAGTATTCTTAAGCTATGGTTGTTAAAGTGTATCAAATGTAATTATTAAACACTTCTGAAGAGCTCCCTTTAAACAGATGGAATGTTCGGGGGTATCATTTTATGGAGGCACTTTGGACAGTCCCTCCCACAGACACTCATGTTCCCCAAACTCCTAGAGAAATCGCAAACAAAAGGTAGCAGGTAATGGAAATGAATGAAGCAGGAGCAGAGCAAGAAAATGCTAGCTCAGCAGGATGGTGGATTGCCACTGACACTAGGGAGGCAGTAGGGGGGGTGGTGACGGTGACAGAATGAAGAGTGCGTGCCCATGTAGAGAGCAGTGGCTACTCAGCCCCGGCAGCGTTGCTGTGCAAAAACGCAGGGCTGTTGCTGTCACAGCTTATGACTCTTCCAAGAAAAGCCAAAAATCGGAATTTCATGTGAAATCTTCTGAATTTGCAATGTTGGCAACTTGGACAAGATGGCTGAAGGTGACCAAAAGGTACAAACTTCCAGTGGTAAGTCCTGGAGATGTACGGCCTGGTGACTACAGTCAACAATACTGTATTGTATATTTGAAAATTGCTACGAGAGTAAATCTTAAAAGTTCTGATCACAATAAAAAAAAATTGTAACTCTATGCAGTGATGGATGTCAACTAAACTTATTGTAGTAACCATTTTCCAAAATATACATATACCAGATCATTATGTTGTATGCCAAAAACTAACACAATGTTTTCCTAGCTGGCGCGGCTCAGTGATCCAGGAGGTCACGGTTCAATTCCCGGTTGCACATGCCGGGGTTGCAGGCTTGATCCCCAGCAGGGGGCATGCGGGAGGCAGCAGACCAGTGATTCTCTCTCATTGATGTTTCTCTCTCTCTTCCTCTCTGAAATCAATAAAAAAATTATTTTTAATAACATAACACAATGTTTTATGCCAGTTGGACTCAATTAAAAGAAATGTTGGCAACTAATTCAAAATGTTTGAAAGTGGAGAGGTGGCCACTTTGCCACCCTTGCTCTTCAAAGAGAAGACGTTTTCGATGGGAGGACAATCTTGTCTCTGGCGTGGATGCTGTGCTTGTAATCACCCCAACCTCACTTGAGCCCCATGAGGCCCCTCTCTTCTTGGGGCTGCTGCTCTCCCCCTAGACGGCGGCCCCATATCTGTGCCTTCTCCCATTCTGCACTATTTAATCAGAGCAATCTTCCCCAAACTCAACTCTAACCACTGCCTCTGCTACTTGCAACCCTCAGCTCCATCTTGGGCTCTAGTCTTAATGCTTCATTCTTCTGTGTTTTTGTCCACAGCCGTCTTCTCACTCCCTGTTCTCCCTGCGGGAGATCGATGTTTTTATTGCTAAGGACAAGACAGTGACTCCCAAAATGTACTCCTGCGGCCTTGCCCTCTCTCCGGAGCACTAGACTCACACACCTACCAGACATCTCTGCTTGATGCTCCTTAACCTCAGAGCTGCACACACTTGTCCATGCCTCCAGCCCACCCACCATGTCTCCTGCCTGGATCTCAGTGTGGGGAAGGGTATCCCTCAGCTACGGAAGCAGGACCCTGAGGGGCACCTTGATCTGGTCTGCGCCAGACCTGGTCTCCTCACTCTCTCTCAGACCAGCCCCGTTCCCACGTCGCTCCATTACTCACTGGTGGCCTCCCCCTCTTCTTTTCCCGCTGCGACAGCTTCCAGCAGCCTTGACTTCCTGTCTCCTGTCTCACAATTCTCCAGTCCGCTCTCACAGCCAGCCGAAAGCACTGCCCCAAACCAGGAAGGCAAGGAGCCTCCCCTCCGAGCTCCTCCGGGGCTTCCACCCAACCCTGCTTACCTTCCACCTTCATGGCCCAGCCGTCTGCCCTGGCTGCCATGCTGCATCCACCAGAGCTACTGTGACTCCCAGAGGGGATATGAGGCTATGTATCTTGTCTCTGATCTTCGTACCTGCTCTTCCTTCTGTCTTCAAGGCCCCCCCCTCCCCCACCTCTGTCTAATATGACTTGCCTTGAGTCTCAAACAGCACCTCCTCCAGGAAGCCTTCCTTGCCTACTCCACTACGTGTCCCCTTACAGCAGCGGTTCTCAACCTGTGGGTCGCGACCCCTTTGGGGGTCGAACGACCCTTTCACAGGGGTCGCCTAAGACCATCGGAAAAACACATATATAATTACAGATTTTTTTTGTGATTAATCACTATGCTTTAATGATGTTCAATTTGTAACAATGAAAATACATCCTGCATATCAGATATTTACATTACCATTCATAACAGTAGCCAAATTACAGTTATGAAGTAGCAACGAAAACAATTTTATGGTTGGGGGTCACCACAACATGAGGAACTGTATGAAAGGGTCGTGGCATTAGGAAGGTTGAGAACCACAGCTTTTACCCCACGACAGCTACAGTCATGTCTCTTGGTCTGTGTTCCAACTGAACAAGGAAGTACTCGAGGGCTCAGTGTCACTCAGTTACTGACACAAGGCTAGCATTCAGACCTATGTCTTGGGAGCCCCTGCCCTCCCCAAGACAAGCTCTATTTATTTTCAGCGAAGACTTGGGACTTGGGAAAACCACAGAGAATTCTTACCAGGCGCTCTGTATATAAACAACTCCCTCCCTCAGTGTTAGGAGTGCCACGAACCGTCTCAGAGCCCAACAAGGACAGCCGAGGGCTCACACAGGTAGGGGCTTGTCGGGGCCTCTGTAAGGGCGAAGGGAGGGAGCTCTCACAGGTGCCCCTGTGCCCACCTCCAATCCAACAGGATTTCAGTTCTGAGCTTTGCCAGTGCATCTCCAGGACCCCGTTGCGGCGCCCCCTAGTGGTCACAGTGCTCCGCAGAAGGCGAGGAATTCGGGAAGGGCTGTGCGCCTTGTGAGCACCAACCCCTACCCCCAAACCCCTAGCCTCCTGGCATTTAAATCCTGGGTCAGCGGAGGCCTTAGCCCAACTGTCAAGATCAGGCTTGATTGCTTTCTGAGCTACAGTGCGACGAGGTGGAAAGAGCCGGCGTGGGAGCCAGGAGACCCTGCTCTGCCACTTAGCGCTGGTGGTGGCCCTGTGGTCACCGGAGCCTTGCTATAGGGGGGCAGGTCCGCCTTCCTGGCAAGGCTGCTCTGAGGGGAAGTGCTCTCTGCAGGGTCTGGCATAGAACAGCGCAGATCTTATGTCACCGGGCGGGCCAGGCTGGTGCTTGAAGCTTTTATTCATATGGACATATGGGGCTAAATAAGATATATTGTTAAAATTAATTTCACCTGTTTAACTTCGTTTTTCCAATGTGGCTACTAGAAAATGGAAAGCTACATGTGTGCCTGGCGTTAGATTTCTCTTGGGCAGGGCCGGGTTAGATTCGCCGGAGGTCTTGTTCCTTCCGACCGCCCACCCAGGCCCAGGCCTTTGGCCGGCTCCGCCGTCTCGCCTGCTTTGGTTCTGGCACATGTTCAGACCAGACCGCGTGTGGAGGCTGAAAGTGAAACCCACTCCTGTCGGGGAGCAAGGGGCTGGGAGTGGCTGTCCTGGCAGCCAGGACTCCTGGAGCCGGCAATACACCTGGGGAGTAGGTGGTCAGGGTAAGAACACTAGTAGTTTGGGGTTGGGGCAATGATCCGAGGCAACACCCCGCTCTGAGAAGACCCTGGTAATCAGTGAGGGAGAGAAGAAAGTCAGGGTGACAAGAAAGGGACCAAACTTCTACAACCAGGACTCAAAATGTGGGTCCTGGTTCTGTCTGGGGTCAGAGGGGTTTGTTGAGACCACAGGTTGGGGGGCGCAGCCCTGGGCCCCTTTGCAGGTTTGCCTTGGTTTTGGCTGGACAACCTAGGAACTCCTCTTGTGTGGTTTAATCTTGGGGACAAATACTTTGAGAAGAGAGAAACTGACACAAATATTATAAGGGGCTCTCTGAGACCCAGTTAAGGCCATTCTATCGCGTGAAACATGTGCGTGTGCACACGCAAACATATACTCCCTGTTAACTACCAAGCTAAATACTATCTTTTTAACAAATCTCTTTTTAAGTACTTTCCAACCCCAGCCAGTAAAGTTGCAGAGATGTCCCTCGGGGCAGGACGGGTGGACTTTCAGGCCAAACTATTTCAGAGCTTCCCACCATTTGCCCAAGGGCTCCCGGAAGGAGCACCTCAAGACAGAACGGGGGCGGGGGGGGGGGTCCACTGTGTTTTATTAGACAGCAGTGAGGCACTGTGTGGCTTTATTAGGTCTAAGGAATCGACTCAAGTCAGAAGCAGAACAACTGCCATGTTAGAAAGATTAGTACCAAGAGCCCAGACTGTGACCCGACGGAGGCCCCTCGTCAACGGCTCCCGGCACCACTAACCTAACGCGGGGCCTCCGCTCTCAGACAGGCCCACCCCAGCTCTCAGGCCTCGTAATAGTCGCTGGGGAGGAGGCCCAGCACCAAGGTCCCTCCCAGCACCGAACTCTTCTGTCTGCTGGAAAAGAGCAAAAGGACGGTGCTTCTCTTAGCCACGGGAGCCAAGGGGCCTGGAAGGATGTCAGTCCGGTCTTTACCAGTCGGGAGGCAGAACCCAATCTCAGTCAAGAAAGACCTCCTCTCTTCACATATTCACAGGAAATACTGAAAGTGATGAAAAAATGCGCACACCACCCTTTATAGCAGAGGCTTGCAAACTCAAATGCCCACCAGGACCAGCCCCAGGCGGGGGCCTATATCGGGGAAGTGCAGTAGAGGGGAGGGTGGGAGGGTGAGAAAGGGCTCAAGTGTGTGGGGGTGGAATCACAGCAAAATGAAGACGACGGCACACCCCTCCCCGCTCCCCGAAAACAAGCTCTTTATGTGCAATCTCCCAAGTTTCAAATATTGGCAACAAACTCCTGAGTTTTGAAGTACAGCAGAGGCTTCTGCCTTTCGACTTCTGCCTTAGACAATTTTCTACCTTAAGAGAAGCTCCCTCCCCCCACCAAATAATAAAATTCTAACCAAATCATTACAAAGAAATTAACGGATAAATAGAAAAATAGAGCAGCTTCAACAATACCAGTCCCCATATTTTCAAACAACATCAACAGCAATTCATTGAGTTCACTCTTGGGCAGAAGGCAGTCAATTGGGTCCTTCTATTGGAGATACTTTTGCATTATTAAAGTGACACATGCTGTCAAACCGACCCAAATAAGCTGTCATCCTACCTGCCCATAGGCTCCCTGTTGTAGAAAATAAACGGAGGCGCAGAGCAGCGAGGGTCTTCTTTAACATCACAGAGCCCCCCAGCCACAGGTTTGCCACTCCACCTTTTGGCACTACCACGGTTATTTTGGCAGAAATAACTCAAGGAAGTTATGCAGCACCTGCCAGAATGCTGGGCAAATAGTAGGCACAATTGCATGTGTGCTGAGTGAGTCACCCATGAATGAATGAATGTAACTACTTCCCTTAGATAGTACTTCCTACCGGGAAAAGCAGGAGCTGTCCTTGCCATTCCAAAGACTGGATTTCTCCTGGCGGGCAAGGAAGACAAGGGAGGTAATGCAGAGTTCCTTCTTTGAGTGAACAGATGGTCTTCCTGGCTTTTAAGGGAACATCATTGACCCTGTCTGACTCATAACCAGAGAAAAAAGGATTCCGGCACTCGGCACCTCTGGGCTGGGTCGGCTTTGACCTTGGGTTAGGACCTGAGATTGAGAGCAAGTCCTATGCCCTTGCATTAATCCATAACCCAACTTTCCTTCTGTTTGGTGCCTTATTCTCAAAAGAACTTGGCACAGAAAGTCAATGGCAACATGAGGAAGAAAGAGGGCTCTTTCTTCGCATGGCTGTGCAAGGCTATTTCTGTCCTGGGCCTGGCCCCCAGGCCCCCAGGGGGCAGTGCAGTCTTTATTCTGGCTTGCTCAGGAGCCGAAGTCCCAGGAACCCCAACCCTCCCTGCTCTGGGGGACTCTTCCTAGAATTTGACAAGGGGAAGAGATTGGCTCATCCAATTTCTCAAAGGTGCCACGATTGGCATTTTGAGTGGAACAATTCTGTTTTTGGAGCTTGCCCTACACAATGCGAGATGCCCACTAAATGCCAGGGGCGCCCCACAGTCAGAGTGAAGCCTCGCAACACACACACACACACACACACACACACACACACACACACACACACACTTCCAGTGCTGCTTGCAGGTGGGTAGCCTGGCCCCTGGTTGAGTGACAGGTCTAAGATCTCCCCTCTCCCTGTTTGATAACTCCTGGTCCAGACTTCTTTCCAGCTGCATGTGAAGTGATGGATGCTCATGCACACGACCACGGGATGCCACAGCACCACAGAGCCGCAAAGTAGGCCGCCTTCTGTCTCAATGGCACGGAGAAACCAAGGCGAGGGAGAAAAAACAACCTCACTGTGACCAGAGTGACCAAATGGAGGCGGGGGAGGGACCAAGTTCCCAGAGGATACATTTTCCTAGGTCTGGCTGAGCTGAGGAAGTCCGCTGCCTTGCTGGTATCTGTCAGTGTGGCAGTCCCCTGGAAGGTGGGGCTTCGTAGAGACTGCACTCCCAAGGTCATCGTGGAGGCCTGGGGGCTCAGTAGGAGCTGCAGCAGCCCAGGGGTCCAGACTTCAGCTGGAGTCTCCAGCGGGCTCAGCGGGAGTGTGGGCAGCTCCGTCACAGGCTCCCGACCCCTTTCCAGGATCCTCACAGTCTCCGTTGGGAAGTATGACTGTCAGCGCCAGCTCCTCCTCAGGTTCCCGGAAGTTACCTGAAACACAAGAGAGGGAATCACCCAATCAGAAGATAGAGTCTGTGAGGGAGTAAGCTAGGAACCAAAGGAAGGAAATTGGCCCCAGTGACTATCTACTCAAAAAAACACAACAGAATACATATCGAAAACCTTAAAAATGTACATACCCTTTGACCCAGCAATTCCACTTCTAGGATTTTATCCTAAGGAGATAATTAGGAATAATTAGTGGAAATGCTGCAGTGATCTTGCTACCAGACTAGGGATGAAACAACATGAGGATGGCCCCTCAGAGAGAAGGAAAGAACCTTGATGGGGTCACTGGGCCCCTGAACCAAACGGCCCTGACGCTGAATCTACCTAGACATTCTTTAGCTGAGCTCATGAGTGCCCTTGCTGCTTGTGCTAGTGTGAGTCACAGTTTCTTTATCTGTAACTGAAATCAGTTACATCCTAACTGATTTGAAGTCCAACAAAGGGATTGAATGAATTAACTGGCTCACCCATATAATGGGAAATCTGAATACCAAGATCCGTGGATTGTTTCAATGTCAATATCCCCAAATGATGATGGAGAGGTCGAAGTTACCATTTTTGCAATTAAATTTTTTAAATACCTGATGCAGATTTTATATACGATATAGAAGCAAATTTCTTTTTTTAAAAAATATTTTATCGATTTTTTATAGAGAAGAAGGGAGAGGAATAGAGAGTTAGAAACATCGATGAGAGAGATCGATCAGCTGCCTCCTGCACGCCCCCTACTGGGGATGTGCCCGCAACCAAGGTACATGCCCTTGACCGGAAACGAACCTGGGACCCTTCAGTCCCCAGGCCGACGCTCTATCCACTGAGCCAAACCGGTTCGGCAAGAAGCAAATTTCTTAACATTTAAATAGTACAAGGAGATACAGACAGATGGATGGACAGAACGGGCCTACTCCAATGGATGATTTATAAATATTTGTGTTCCTTCTTTTGTACGTGTTGAGTTTTCAGTTAGGCAGAATTCTCAGGTGGCCGCCAAGATTCCCACCCTTTGGCGTACTCATCCTGCATAATCCCCTCCCTTGAGTGTGGGGGCGACCTGTGAATATGCCTGGATGGTTACTCCCTTGTTTGGGCACCTTATATGGCAAAGGTGATGGAGAGTCACTCCTGTGATTATGTTACATTGTAGGAGCCTGAGGATCCCCGCCGACTGAAGGAGCACCTGCCTGTGAGAGGAGGGAACTCTCAGAGCTGACAGTCAGCAAGAAGGCGGGGCCCTCAGTCCTACGGAGGCAAACAAATGAATTCTGCCAACAATCAGATGAACTTAAAGGAGGACCCGGGCCCCTTCAAGGAATGAGCTGGCCCACGCTGAGGCAGCTGTGGGAGCCCCTGAACGGAGGCCCCACGAAGCCGTGCCCTGACTCCTGACCCTCGGAAAGTGTAAGGGGACAAATGGGTGTTGTTTTAAGCAGCTAAATCTGTGGTAATTTGTTACTAGGCAATAGAAGACTGATAATGATTTTTTTTAAAGAGACACAATAGAAGTTCATTTTAAAGCACTACTCACTTTTTCTATAACAAAGCTATACTATTCAGTGCACTCTGGGTTGGGATCATGTACATTCAACTGGTGACAACCTGCTTTCCTGAGCACAGTCAGGCGCCCCACAACGTTTTGGTCAATGAGGTTATAATGGAGCTGAAAAACTATTGCTCCGAGGCACAGGAGCAATAGGCTATCCCTAGCACGCAGCAGGATATACCCTCCAGGTTTGTGTAAGTGCACTCTATGATGTCTGCACAGCGACAAACTCGCCTAGGATGCGTTTCTCGGATCATATCCTCGTAGTTAAGCAGTAGGCAACTTGTCAGTCCTCTCTGGGTCACAGCAAACTCAGCCTACGGAGTACCTCTGTGGATCTCACTATCTTTCCCTTTCCCTTCTTCCCTCGCCTCCCCTTAGCAGCCTGATGATTCTACCCCAGAAATGGCTCCGGGCTGGTGAGCTCCTTCCTCTCCAATCCAACACTGCCCCCCTTGGGCCAGGCCCCTCATCGTCCCTCCTGGGACTATGCAGTCCCCTCCTGGCTGGGTCTGCCTCTGGTGGCTCCCTGGCCCCCCAGTCCAGTCACCTCTCCAAACACAGCCCTAGTCTCCACGCCCTTGCTCAGAAATCGCTAGTGTCTCAACTCTCTGCTTCAGCCTCGCTCTCAGCAGTCTTCTGCACCGCACCCCTGGCACTCTTAACAGGGGTCCCTTTTCTGAGCATGACATTATGCTGTTAAGCCTTTGTTCATGATGCTCCCTCTATAATCTTCCCATTTCTAAGACAATCCCCTGACCCCCCCCGCCCCACTTGCTCTGTGAGGCCATGGGTCTGACTCCACGTGCCTTGCCATGTCAATGGCCTATCCCAGTGGTCGGCAAACTGCGGCTCGCGAGCCACATGCGGCTCTTTGGCCCCTTGAGTGTGGCTCTTCCACAAAATAGCACATGTGGGCACGCCCTACAGTGCGATTGAAACTTCGTGGCCCATGCGCAGAAGTCGGTTTTTGGCCTGGGCGAGTCTATTTTGAAGAAGTGGCGTTAGAAGAAGTGGGGGGTGTTGACGGGAGACACGGCACAGGCGGGCCGCGGGATAGGGATACGCAGATCGGGGGAGGTGTGCGCAATTAATGCACCGGTTGAGTGAGCCAGTCAGTCAGCAGTCTCATTGTGCTGTGGTCAGTGCTAGTGCTCCGC